CGTGCGCACACAGTGTGGAGGCAGAGAAGGCAGAGGGGCTTAAATCCATTGTGCCTCGATCACAGAATGGAAGAGGAGCGCTACTCCTTTTCTACTCCGAGGTACTCCCCCTCCCCCCTTTGTAGACGAATCCCACTGCATTCCTGTATAATTATATACGGTCCCTCTCGCGATGCTGCTCCGTAGCACCTTGGATTTAGTTTACGCGCGAATTCGCATTGCAAATATTTTGACTGAATTTCGGAGTTTGCGTGATAATTCAATCGCTCATCTGTGTACTTACCACGCTTTCAGCATGTCAGGAGGATGCGGTATTTTATTTTGGGATTACCAGGAGTTAGGGGATCCCATGGATCCTGTTAATTATAATTGTACACGAGCAGCTCGCAAAGCTCTTTAATATCGCTCGATGTAACATCTCTTGTTAAACTACATTGTAAGTCAGATAACGAGGGAAAGTTTCACGATTCATAAGCTTATGCAGTAAAAGTAGGAATTCGTTGAACTAGGTAAATAATAACAATAATTTATCAAATACTCATACGAAGTGCACGTGTCCCTCTTTTATATTTTGATTGCGTACATACACACATGCACCCTTATCGCTTTGATGCTATCTATAAATCGTGTTGCAGAAGCTTACCGAACAGCTCTTAACTAACAAAGTTGGGATGCTTCTTTGAAAATACCAGCGACGCTTACATGCCCCTCACACTTGATAGCTTCCAAACAAGAGAGACGGAAGACTCCTAGGCTCGTTATGCCGTGGAGCAAAGTGCTTGACAATGGATGACAAAAGCAGCAATCGCATCAGGAAAGTTAAATAATTTATCGGTGATTGAATTAGTAATCGGTGGAGTATTAATTTACGTTTTCTGAGTAGTTTTGGGCACGTTTGGATCTCCTACCCAATGGAAGCAGAGCTTTATACGTTCATTAATGGAAACGTGTGCGAGAAAAGAGATTTTTTAATTCATTCGCTGTAGCTTCGTACTTCTAACTTTGTGTAACGAGCTTTTAATTTCATTTAAAAAATGTATTTCACTTTTTTTGTAAAAATGCAAATTTTACCTTGCTTTTAAAACTTCGGGAATACTAACTCGAGCCTTAATAACGACAGATTGTAAAAATTAAGTTTTAAATTATACTTCATGCTGTTTTTGATCTTTACGTTTTACCATCGGCATGAAAATCATTGTCATTTTAATGAGAATGCAATGTATCTAACAGCGTCATAATTTGCACAAAAAAAAAATGAGAACAAAAAATTACACTCAGAGGAAAAACAAAACCGAGAAAGGACCATAATTACACCCAAGTGCAAAGTTATGGCACTTAAACAGATATGTTTTGTCGGAATAATTTGCGCTTGTGCAACTCTCACCTCGACCTGACTATTTTTCCCTTTTGTTCTTCTGCTTTTTCTTTTTATTTCATCTTCCGCAAGGAGTCTACAAACCCGCATAAAAAATTCTCGGAGCCGGGACGCCTTTCTCTCTTATGAAATTAAAGAGGTGTAACAGCGAACACTCGGAGCGGCCATTGCCATTGTTTTCGTGGCCTTTTTTAATTATTTCGAGAGCCACTCTGTTGATAAAGTCGACTGCTCCGCTTTGAAATTGCGCTGTATTTATTCTTCTATTTTTCTTTTCCTCAACTTTATCCTTCCAATCCACGAGGAAAAATCAACAGACGTTATTTCATCTTCATTGGCGAGTTTTACACCCATAGATGGAATTCCACGGCTTGATAACGAAACATAAAAATTTGAAAAGATAGGTCGATTCGTACGTTTCATCACCACCACGTATCGAACAACCCGCACCAGAGTCATCCAAATGCAACGTCGAAATGACAAACTTGAAAACGCCATCGATCTGACACTGCGCGAAACGAGGCCGACACCTATGCAACTCTAGCGAAAAGCCCCTCCAGCACAGCAGGGAATGGAGAGAGGGTGGAGGCTAAGCAGAGCTATATCGCGCAGCAAACAATTTTGCGAATTACACGCCACATAAATTGAATAAAGCTCGAGAGTTGGCGCGGCAACCGAGAGTGGCACTTGCCGTGGGTACATGTACATATACATTTGTATGTACGCTGGGAGACGCGTGTGTAGCTGCAGGTGTTTGTAAGCTCAGCTCCAAAGTCTCGATGGGGCTAAACTGGAAAAGTTGCACAAAGTTTTCCGTTAATTTTCTTCTTTTCCCCTTTTTGACGGGGAGAGCCCCGTGGTCTCGGTTTCTAGTACACAGGATGAAAAAATCGTGCAGGTGTCGTGTAAAACACGTCACAAAGGGAAATCACACGATCCCAGGTAACAGACACGTACGCGTCACGAGTATACCTCGCCTTGTTTACTGCACTCCCGTCACTCGCCGCTGCGGAAGAAGCAGTCCTCCCGGCTGACAGCGGGAGTAATGGTAGGACGACAAGACTTCCCTCCAGGATTTCGCGTGGCAGGCGGAATATCTCGAACGTACATTACGCTGCTCGTGAAAAAAAAGCTCGTGGCAGAGTCGATATTCCACGCCAAGATTGTGTGTGTGTTTTATTTTTCCAAAGGAAATAAGGAAAGGACAATCTAAGTTTTCGAGTTTGAGATTGCGTCGGGATGGAGATGTATGTGTGCACGTTAAATACAAGGTAATGATTCATTAGCTTTTCTTACGCACCCAAGTTCCGTGTATATCGTGTGGTGTTGCAGTATATACACATATACGGACTTATACGGGATTTACGATATGAATACATGAATAATACGCGCGCGTAACTTTGTGGCCCTCGCCGCGGCTCGGGAACAGAGTGTAATTTTGCTCGGCGGGGCGCTGGAGCTAATTTAAAACTTTAATTACCGCAAAGCAGGGAGTTACGCGTTTATCCGGCATAAATCTTTTCGGGACACTGTTTGTACAGCGTGCGAATCGCGATGCTGCTGATTAATAAGTTGTAAGTCGTGTCTTTACAAGCTCAGTGCTTGGTTTGATCATTCAATGGAAGTAACAGTAGGAAATATCAAGTTAATTGTGTAGTATACGGTTCAGTTGATCGTTCGGTGGAGAAAGACTCAAAAAGCTGGTTATAGCTACGCTCAAGCAAGCGCGAAGTTGTGTATTAACATGAAATCGAATCGCAAATACGGGAGGAGGGCATTGGTGTATACATGTAGCAGCCTCGGCACGTTTGCAACGCGAGTCCCTCCCCCTCCAACTCTTCGATGTACAGTGCGAGCACGTACAAGATACGAATAATTAATACAGCCATAAACAAGAGGTGAAAGGGCTGCGTTTGGCGCCCCCGGGGTTGGTAAGCATAAAATTGATGCTCGCTGCACGAGCTTCCCGGAGCGAGCCTGTATCACGTTTACCCCGAGTTTGTTACAGTTTTCGGCTGGCTTGCATCGCAAATTAGAGCTATGATGGTTCGAAATCCGATATAGGCGAGGCTCTTGGTTGCAGATAGAGCCAGGAACCGGTGGGTGGGTATATCGTGAGATCGTGGATTTCAATCCTTGGGAATGAGCTTACGTGATTAAGTGGAAGGGAATTACCGGCCTCTGTTCAGCCACATCAAAGCATTGGATGTCGAGTTTGTTACACGATTAAGGAATGAGGCTTGAACAACTTCTCGTATTTAGCGTCAATCCGTTCCTAGAAATCCCATCTAACGCAATATCATCCTTTACAATGGATCCAACGTGCCTTGCATCTAGATCTACTCTCCCAGTTCTTGTCGATACGTAACCCATGCCATTACTGCGTAACCATACAATTGTCCTTTTTTTTTCTCCTTCTATACTTTAATACGTGCATTTGCAATAGAGTCATTTACTAAGCCAAATCTGGTATTAATAGTAGAAAATAACAATAGTATAATCTAGGTAACTTGTATTCATGAGAACAACCCTACCCTGCCCTTGGAATAAGATAAAAAGAACTAGACTGGATGTGGAATAAAAAAGGGCACAGTCCAAGAGTATAAGAAAGAGAGATAGAGAGAGAGAGAAAGGTGTACAGATGTAACGTGCGAATTTGCATTTAGAGAAGCAAACCTCCTTCTCCTCCTCTTCCTTCTTCTCTCTTTTTTTTCCAAGCGTAGCGTCTACTAATCGGATCTGGAAAAACAGAGTCCAAAACACATCTACTGCTCATCGTCGTAGCTGTCTTTCTTATTTTGATCCCTTCGAGGAAGTGGAGTGATAAACACACGCATCAACGAGCAACTAAAATAATCTTGCATGTTTAGTTCGCCAATTTGTGTCGCAGCTAGGCTAGCGATACAACTAAAAAAAAAAATAATAATAACAAATAACCACGTTGCTGTAATCATAAATATGCTTTTAATCTTTCAATAGATTTTATGACTACATATGCATTTTCTATGTTAATTATATGTATAACCTCACGTATTTACATGCAAACAAGCAGAATTTTTCATTAACAGTAAAAATAAGCAATTACTCGGAAACATTCAAACTTTTTTTATTAGGCAGCTATAAAGATTAGGTCTGGCTGTATAAGTGATTCTCGACGAGTCAATTCAGTACGATTTAGTTCTCAGCAAAATGATTGCGTATACAATATTAAGATTCTATCTAGACATCCCAATTGATACATCCCCCTAACGTAGTAAAAATTTTATGAACGTCATTGATAAATGATTCAAAAGCGATAGGAACGCAGATTCCAAGAATCTAATAGAGCAACGCACATCCTCCTCTACAGGAAAAAAAAAAAAAAAAAAAAAAAAAAAATCAGTTTTAGGGTCATTCGGGAGCCATTTCCGAGCGTCGAGCACACAAATGTACCCACAGCCAGGGAGAGCTCGATCAATTTGAAATGCGCATACTATAACACTGCAAATCCAATCTCCGACGTCTCGGCATCATCCCCCTCCTCCTTGAAGTCTTACAATATGCATGAACACGCAGCCCCATGAAATGTGACTCGGAGCCGATTTGTTCCGCGCCTAAACGTATCTGGATGTACTTTTGGTTGCAGCTGCTGGTCGGGAACGACAATCCACAGACGGAAAAGGAGCAGATCTTCGATCCGCCCATCGTGGCGACCAAGGTCCGCTTCAACCCTTACACCGTGCACATGCGCACGGTCTGCATGCGCGTCGAGCTCTACGGCTGTCCCTGGACCGGTAAGTGAAATTTACGATTTCCATTCGCCTCCTTCCAGACTCCCACCTACTACCGGCTCCCTCGGAGCACCGAGTGTGCGTAATGGATACGAAGCTGTATGGGCTTCTTAGGCCGTGCGAGCACGTGTGTATACATCCGCGCGAGGGACATCGAAATGACGCGGGATTTACGGGACACATAACGGAAGGAAATAGAAACAGATATCGACCTCTCAGCGAATCGTAAATTATTTCCCTCGTCGAGCTTGCTTTTTTATTCTTTGTCTCTTTTTTTCTTCTTGATTTTCCTCCCACCCCCCCCCCCGGTGTCGGAGAAAAAGCTGCTGCTTTTTTTATGAGTCCCAGGCGCCGATTTTTATTGCCTCGGGTTTTTCCATTCGAAAGTGCATCCGGCTCGAGGGTATAAAGATTAAGCCAAGGTGCGGGGAAATGGAAAGAAATGCGCGTAGCCTGCCGGGCGGGNAACAGGCACATATATATATATATATATATATATATATATATATGTTTTTTCTTTTTTTGATGCCTCGACAATTTGTGCTTTGTCCTACTTTTGTGTTCTTCCAGGCGTGAACGTACCCCGTCACTAAACGATACTTTTTCCACGCTCTATTCTTTCAAGTTCGAACTGTGCTTTGTAACCGTTGAATAGTAGAGTACACACACTCGCGTACGCAAAGTAAGAAAAAAAAATGAGAATCCACCCACGCTTTACTCGGCATCACATCGCAAATGACCACTGACGTGTACAGCGCACAGAGATCCAAATAAACTGGGACACGCGAAGTACTTCCGAATCGAGACGCGGTACTGGTTTCCCCGGGGCCTCGCGTATAGGCGAGCAAACAGAGTATCTCGCGAGTCTGCTTCGATTTACATACATATTGAAGTCGAGCTGCTACAGCTAAGCTTATTCCCTTTCCCTCCCCATCTTTTTTTATAACTGTATGCACTCGTGTGTGCATTCGCTCTGTTCTCGGGTGGTACGACTGGGCGCGAGTTTTCTTTTTATTAAGCGCAAGGAAAGAAGCTCGCACGCGTCTCGTTTACAGCCACAGGGAGCAAACTGAGTCCCTTTCTATTTAAACAATGCAAAGTGAATGTGAGTCGACCGCTTGAATCGGAATCGCAGATACGGGGACAGAGTAACAGAAACTTTTTTGCTACCGCGGATTTCGTACTACGGCCGACTTTCGCTCCTTAACTTGTTTTTTTCGTCCTTTGGTTTTCCGGATTGTCTTAATTTGATGATTCAATCGACAGGGAGAGAGTGTTTTTTGTCGACTCTGTGTATTTAAGAAAACAAGACATGGTTCAAATATAAACAAGTTTTATATATAAACTTTTTCGTTGATTTGCCCATAAATCGCTCGTCGATTCAAGGGTTGCGGTACATAAAATATACATAAAACAAGAGTTCAATGAAGTTCGTCAAACTTTAAAATTGTATTATTTAGTCAATCTATAGTTTCGTTTATTTACCGAAAACACTTTTTTAATAATTAAAATAATAACAATTCGACTTCGATAGTCCAATTATAAAAATGACGTGGCTATTCAAATCATTTCCAATTCATTGAAAATTGGTGCATACCTACTTCATTGAGAGAAAAAATGATAAAAATTACTGTGCTGGAATGATAATCTGGTGTCATCATCCTGTCTAGGAACGTTTTACTTTTGGTAATTTAATTTTTATCCTCGTGGACAGTAATTTCTATTGTTCAAACAGTAAAAAGTCTCTAGACAATGGAACATAAACAGGAGTCCCAGGCGCCGATTTTTATTGCCTCGGGTTTTTCCATTCGAAAGTGCATCCGGCTCGAGGGTATAAAGATTAAGCCAAGGTGCGGGGAAATGGAAAGAAATGCGCGTAGCCTGCCGGGCGGGAAGAAACACGGCGGGGATTTCCTTGCTCGGGATTCTTCGGGACATTTTTCGCGTAATTGACCATTTTCCTTTGCATCAATTATTTCCGCTTTTTTGCTTCATCCTTTGTTGCATTGGAATCCGGACCATATGTACAAGTTTTTAATTCAAAAGAATCATACATAATTTCACTCTTAGAGTCGAGTTATTAAAAGTATCAATGACACATGTTTCCCAATCGATGGTTTCGAACAAGCAATTGAATAATTCCAAGTGATCCTTTTTGTTTCACCAGCGCTACGAGCCGTCCGCGCACCAAAACCATCAAAATGGAGAAACATGCTCCTTCAGCCAAGGGTAAACCGACCAATAATCGTTAGCAAAACCATTACTTTGCATTAACAGCTTCGTACAGCGGTATACTTCGAGTCTCGTTGTAAATGGTAAAGAGCAAGCAAGGATCGAAGGGGGGGAGGCAGTACATACGTACACTTACCGGTTCAGCTGCGGCGCTCATGAGCTTTCACGGGGAGAAAAGCGGCCTCGGGGAAAAGCTCTTCTCCCTGCCTGCGCGCGGTTCGGTCTAATCTAGAAATAGTGGCCGTCGCCGTAAATTTGATCCAACTTAATTTCGAAATACATGTACCCGGGCCGAAGCAAAAGCGAGGACCGATTTTCCGAAAAGCCGAGAAGGGAGGTAAGAAATAATGGACGGCTCGTGCGGGACATCGGAATACTTGAATTACGGGGAACGGGTGAGCTTGAATGCCAATAGTTGAGCCGGTGCTGGTTGAGGAGCTGTTAACCGTATATAATGGATGGAATTATTAACAATGATCAATGGTGGCTGCGTGTGTCAAGGGTACGCGAGTTTTGCGTGTACTTTTGGAGCGCATTGATGGATGGGCACTCAGTTTTTACGACAAAAAAGCTCAGGAGTTACTTCGATTTTTTTTTTGAGTAATGTATTTCCTTATTTCCAAGGATATTATCGTGAAAGGCTCGCTGCTTGTTATTTTTATTTAGTGCAGTGTCACGTTACTCGTAATTATTTTATCATTAGTAGTTTTGTACGGAAAAGTCTACAGCCGAGCTGGAGCTACTGAATTATGATTGATGTGATCAAAGCTCTGGAATCCCAAATATTTAGTCAAAGATTGGCTTCACAGGAAGCTATTTCGGAGCATAATTAAAAAGCAGCAGTGTGTAGTGTGTACCAAATTAAAAGTAAATAGTACCGTCAATTAAGTTATTATGTATTAACCAGAGTCAATGTATCGTTGAAATTACAAAGAGAAAATCGTAATTAACTCGCACCGGACTTGCATCGACAAACTAAATTAGTTGTCTGTCATGAAACGTCACATAGTCAGAAATAAGTGGAAAAAGCTCATTTGACACGTAAAACATGAGACACGTATCTTAAAAAATTCAAGAACTCAAACAACGACATAAGTAAGGACAAATTCAATCCATCTCGTTGTAGGTAGTACAAGAATAAACTTCTCGCTTCAATTTTCTCCGAGCCAAAACTTTCCAGACGAGGAAACTCCGCGTGAGGAGAAAAAAAAAGTAGAACAGTCCCTCCACTTTCCGGCGTGTTTCTGTTTCCCACCCTCCAGCCCCTCAATTTCACCGGATGAAAAAAAAAAAAAAATAAATAAATAAGAAACAGTCACGTATGGATATCAGCACTCACACCCTTCCATTTTTGTCGTAGAGGGCCTGTACTCGTACTCGATGCCCCAAGGCGTGCAACGAGGCTTCGAGCTGAATCTGACCGACTGCACGTATGACGGTGCTGAGGAGTCGGGCTTCCTTACTGGGGGACTGGGTCAGCTGGCCGACGGGCAGAAGGGACCCGACAACTTCAGGTTCGACAACGGCAATGGTAAAGGTGAGAATCAATAAGGATTCTTTTGTTCTTTTCCTTTTGTCTCATTTATATACACACACACACACACACACACACACATATATATATATATATATATATATATATATATATGTTTTTTCTTTTTTTGATGCCTCGACAATTTGTGCTTTGTCCTACTTTTGTGTTCTTCCAGGCGTGAACGTACCCCGTCACTAAACGATACTTTTTCCACGCTCTATTCTTTCAAGTTCGAACTGTGCTTTGTAACCGTTGAATAGTAGAGTACACACACTCGCGTACGCAAAGTAAGAAAAAAAAATGAGAATCCACCCACGCTTTACTCGGCATCACATCGCAAATGACCACTGACGTGTACAGCGCACAGAGATCCAAATAAACTGGGACACGCGAAGTACTTCCGAATCGAGACGCGGTACTGGTTTCCCCGGGGCCTCGCGTATAGGCGAGCAAACAGAGTATCTCGCGAGTCTGCTTCGATTTACATACATATTGAAGTCGAGCTGCTACAGCTAAGCTTATTCCCTTTCCCTCCCCATCTTTTTTTATAACTGTATGCACTCGTGTGTGCATTCGCTCTGTTCTCGGGTGGTACGACTGGGCGCGAGTTTTCTTTTTATTAAGCGCAAGGAAAGAAGCTCGCACGCGTCTCGTTTACAGCCACAGGGAGCAAACTGAGTCCCTTTCTATTTAAACAATGCAAAGTGAATGTGAGTCGACCGCTTGAATCGGAATCGCAGATACGGGGACAGAGTAACAGAAACTTTTTTGCTACCGCGGATTTCGTACTACGGCCGACTTTCGCTCCTTAACTTGTTTTTTTCGTCCTTTGGTTTTCCGGATTGTCTTAATTTGATGATTCAATCGACAGGGAGAGAGTGTTTTTTGTCGACTCTGTGTATTTAAGAAAACAAGACATGGTTCAAATATAAACAAGTTTTATATATAAACTTTTTCGTTGATTTGCCCATAAATCGCTCGTCGATTCAAGGGTTGCGGTACATAAAATATACATAAAACAAGAGTTCAATGAAGTTCGTCAAACTTTAAAATTGTATTATTTAGTCAATCTATAGTTTCGTTTATTTACCGAAAACACTTTTTTAATAATTAAAATAATAACAATTCGACTTCGATAGTCCAATTATAAAAATGACGTGGCTATTCAAATCATTTCCAATTCATTGAAAATTGGTGCATACCTACTTCATTGAGAGAAAAAATGATAAAAATTACTGTGCTGGAATGATAATCTGGTGTCATCATCCTGTCTAGGAACGTTTTACTTTTGGTAATTTAATTTTTATCCTCGTGGACAGTAATTTCTATTGTTCAAACAGTAAAAAGTCTCTAGACAATGGAACATAAACAGCACAGTAAATTTAATACTTTTCTTCTCTCGGTATAAGGAAAAATTGATATAAAATATAAGTTTTACACATCTTAACTGATTTTGCAACAAATTTAATTTTAGCAATGGTAATTTTAAATCGATCGAATTGCCATTGTCTGCTATTGATTGATATTAAAAATTAATCAAGTTAAAACGAAAACGTATTTTAAAGTATCGTGACGAAAAATAAATGATCAGCTGAGGTGATTCAAGTCATAAAGTTTGCTCGAAACTTTGACCCCGTCTCGATAAAATCCTCGATTTACCCTACGAGACATTGCAAAAAGCCAAACAAGAAATTCGAAAATGTCATTTCTCTCAAGTGCCAGTCCTCAACTTTTTCCTCCTCCCCTCGAACGCCAAACGCAAACTCTGCCCGGCTAAAAAATCATCGAGTTCTCCCTCGAAACTCGCACAGCAAACTTTTGCCGCGTTATACGTACAAACAAGCAAGAGACACGGACTTCTTATTCGATAGGCGCGCGCGTCGAAGGAGAAGAACTGAAAAAGAAAAAGGCTCAGCCATCGAGTTCCCGGAAAGCCTCTCCGGGTGTTAAACGTCTTTTGTGCGAAATCGCGTCGCGAAATCGAGCAAGCGTTTGCGGCTTTACCCCGGGGCATGACGGTGGCTTTAGAGCCCCGATTGCCCACGTATGCCTCCCAGCGACGTTTCTACTCCGCGGAAATTCCTTTTTACCCTCTTTTCCCTCCCATTATCGCTCGGCTCTTATGGATCTTTACTGCTGGTCTCCCGCGCTACGTGCAGATGCTGATGATGCGAATTTGAGAATCCACCTGCTTAGACGCTCCATTTTCGAGACGCGGATTTTCGCGCTCTGTCTAACAACGTTGACACATAGCAAGTGGAATTAACGCATTTTTTTTTTTTTTTTTACCAAAGTCGAGCGTACGCCTGATTGCTTGAATGTTTCATCGGAAAAGTCTGTCGATTAAAAATTTTTCCAATCACGAGGAAACATGCACACCAAACGACGGCGCATCGCTCACGATATTGGAAAAATATTTCTATTCCACGCCCCACCCCGTCCTACCCTCTTCCCATAAATTACTTTTTCTCATCCACGATAAAAAACGATTGCACAAAACTTTAATAAGCTTGCTCGTTTCCCCATGCCTGCATGTTGTCATTTTTTTTTTTTTTTTTCCTTTTAATTTTATTGCTGCAGCAAACTTTTTTTTCTTTCCGTTTCAAGGATACGAATGGGTCGGCTGGAGAAACGATACGCCAAATATCCTAGGACAAGCAATAGAGATAACTTTCGAGTTCGATTACACGCGAAACTTTACGGCCATGCATCTTCATACCAACAACTACTTTACCAAAGACGTCGAGGTAAATAGTATACATGGCGAGCTAGCCCGAAACTACTCAATTACACGAAGATTCTGATAACGAGTTGACTTGTGGTGTGCTAAATACACATGAAACTTTTTCTCGAACTATACAGAGATAAAAGTAGTACAGAAAATGAGATAACTTATCGTAATAACATTTTTTTTTAAACCCACAACATTAATTTTTTTACAATGACAGTGAAAAAAGTAGTAACACTCAACGTGTGGTCAGCCATATTACAATTGAACTCGCTACCAGTATCCTTGCGCTATTTTTAAATAGTACTCATTAAAAAATAAAAAATAAAAAACGCACCAAACTAACGTATCTACTATTCCTTTGTTCCGGAGGTGTTCAGTCGAGCGAAGGTTTACGTCAGCAACGACAACAGCCAATTCATCGGCGAGCCCGTGCAGTTCACGTACATGCCGGACCACGCGCTTGAGCAGGCGCGCGACGTCACCATAAAGCTTCACTCGCGCTCAGGCCGTTTCATCAAGCTCCAGCTGTACTTTGCATCGCACTGGATCATGATCAGCGAGATCGTCTTCGATTCTGGTGAGCTGCCTATAGAAGAAAGGGACGACGATGAGCTATGCGCAGAACCGGTGCACTGCCATTGGGTGTACTACACAATGGAAGCTTCGTTTTTTTTTTTTTTCATCCACTCTGAAAGAGCGTTCAGTGCTTTTGCGCCGGACAAGTACTCATTTGTTATCCAATGCAATTGCGGCTTTCGTTTCCACGAGGGTGCTTGTTCGATGCCGCGATTGTATTGTGGTGGGATCGCTCTGCGGGTTTTTGGCTGATGATTACTATTTTCTTTGCTAGCGTATCACTGATCAATCGATTCGTTGTTAGTAACATTGAAAGTTGTGATGTTAAGTAGAAATATCAATGTTTGGTCAGACTGAGAAAATTAAATACACCACGATGTCCGCTAATAACCCAATTGATCAAAAACTGTGTAACTTTTGTGAAGAACGAGTGGCTTTTTGTAAAAAACAAAGAAAAAATTGAAACAAAATCACTTGACAGAGTCACTAGCGATCTGAGAAGTTGAAACCTCACCACATACACGCCTACAAATACACGCGTAAATATGAAAATCACGAGTCACTCGGTCATTAATCATTGGCAAGTTTCAGCGAGTCATTGTTCTGGAAAGGAGCAGCCATCAAGTCGCGTTATAAATGTCAGGGAGCACCGGACCAGGGATTTCACGAGCTTGTACGGCGGGTGATAAATAATATTTAAAAAACGAAACGTCATTACGTCGATAAAATACCAGGGGATAGAGAACACGCGAGCGTCACGAGTACGATTGTATCTGAATTTCGTGAAATTTTGAGGCTGGCTCGTGTAGGTATCAGTTACAGTGTCGATATTTCCCGTTTTCTATGGTTGCCTTGTAAAATGCAAAATTTGGGTTTTCCCTGCGGTATGTGCACGTAATTCGGTTGTCATTGTTTTTATTGTCCATACGGGATGAGGTTGTTAATTAATTTATCAATTTATGAGTATAGTTTTTCATTCAATTAATTAATTAGTTTATCGACGCTCATTGCTATCCTTCATGATCAATGCAAAATGTATCAAAGGGTCTCGAAAAAATATTTCACTTCAGATATTTCTGCGAAATTAAAAAAGTAAAGCGGAGGGGCTGTTTACCCTTTGATTGAAAATGAAATGTACACGAGAGAATGTACGGTAGTAACGATATTTATTTGGATGTTGTTTGCTTGATGCTTTAATACTTTATAAATATTGAAAAAATAAAATAAAAATCAATGAGATACGATGATTGGCAAACATTTGTGTCTAAAAAAACGTGTAAATACGCAGATACAAACCTTTGAAGTGATTGAATTTTAATTACAAATTAGTCGAAGGATGTTTGATAATGGTACCAGTAATATTTGTGTTTATTCATGATTCATGATGCAATCGGTTGATACACGGAAAAAGAACTACAGTCATGGGTATACTCTGAAGCTATACAAATTTTTACAGAAGAGCTACGGTGAGAATGATATTGAATCACGGGAAACATTGTACCTAGTTACCCTCGTTTTACCGTAAAAATTACTGTAGCTCTTTTTTTCCAGTGTTAGCCGTTTTAATGTGTTTTTTTTTTTTTTTTTCCTAATAAAGAAGTAAATGTTTGTTCATCTTTAGTTATTTCGGAGTTGAATAACAACACGGAGGAAAAGGAGGCGGTGAAAAGAAAAAACGCAACAACAGCTTCGACCACGGGGATACCTTCTTTTCAGAATAACGAGGGTCCTCTTCAAAAGGATGAGGTGAAGGCAACCTTCAACAAAGACGAGGCGAACTACAGAACATGTAAGTTCACCACTCCTTTAGCGAAGACATATCGCTTCCATTCAATCTCTTTTGCCACAGTAACTAGATAATTATGTATAATATCAACTTTTGCATTTGGATAATTGGTCTCTTTACCCAAGAAAATCCTTAACCCTCTGGCGCAGTTTCTACTAGTATACCTGGTCAATTAGTCAATGAGCAATTATTTTACATTACTATGTCGATTGGAGATAAAAAAAAAGTTGAAACATTTTCCGCTCTTGCATGTAGCTTTGATAGAAAATTATCCTCCACAGCCTTTGGTTGATTAAGCGATCAATTTACGTGGCTTGAAACAGTGCAGCAAAAAATACATTCAATGCTCCATACAATCACTTTAAAAAAGGCATAGAAAAATCCTATAATATATAATTTATTAAAGCGCTCGAACACGCAGTAAAGTCTCCTTTGAAGTTTCAGGGTGTATTGAAGAAAATATGGCAAAACTGACACGTAAAAAAAAAAAAAAAAAAAACCAAGCACACCACGCGAGACTGTATACGCTCTTCTGGATAACTGCATCAAAGAGCGGTGATCCTCTCGCAAAAAAAAAAAATATCTTCTCTTATCTCTACTTTACAAACACTGCTTTGAAAGGCCCAAAAAATCGCAAAAAAAATGCAATAATGCAAAATTCGGAAAGGAGCTCGAGGGTACGCTGCTCTTCCCGAAAGCTGTTCCAAAGAGTAATGTATTTACGTGTTTGCACTACTCTTTTTTCCGAGAATGATTTTTTTGAGCCAAAACGTGAGTGACAGACCAAAGAGTTCTTTCATTATCTTGTAAATACACAAGTAAATTACATACATACGCAGCTACTACTGCTTCAATTGATAGTAAAATAACAAAATGCCACCGACGTCTCCAGTTTAGCTCGGCTTCGCGAAAAACCGCGATACGCTGCCGAGTCATACGTCAATTTCCAGAGCAGAGCGAGAGAAATCACGGGTGATGACTACTCCATAACTCACCCCCAGTCTTCTACCGCCATTCGCATTTCTCTACGATTTTTTTGCAAAAAGAATCTTCGTACCGCGCTGAGCTCAATAGCTTTTCACGGCACAACAAATTGACTTTGACGGCTGCCGATGAAAAGTTCGAATTAATAAACACTTGATTTTCAAGCGAGCAGTCGATGAAAGGCTTGGAGCGCGGGAACTCGGTACGGAGTCGGAGGATGAAAAAAAAGGGGGGGGGGAAATACCTCGGCCGCGAAAAGAAGCCACACGCGCATAATAGACAATCACCGCGCGCACTTTTCATTGTTTCGATTGATTCCATCTCTCCCATTTGAAGCCCACCCTCGCCATCGTGATATTGGAACTCAGGCAAGCGGCGTTTGTTTTAATTTCCCTCCCCGAGCGAGATTGAAACTGCTCCCTGTGCAAAAATCTTTGGCAGTTGCCCCGTCGCACGCGAGCGCGCGCGTGTATTGGTTTTGTTTAATTAAAAAGTACTCCGGATGCTCGGTTGTTGTTTCCATTGCGTTTTAGGAGGGTAAATTCGGAAGCGGGAATCTATTAAAAGCTGGATTGATTGGAAGTGGAGCGTGATTATTTATCACTTGATCGGTAAACCTGATGTGCGCCCAGTTATCGGCAATACGCTGTTTGGATTGAGCCAATTAAATGTGTTCTCCAGCTTGAGTAGGTTTCCCCGCTTGTTTCATTAACACGAAAGCTATAACAATGCAACAAAAAGAATAAACTCACAAGCTATTAATTAATTTTATTTATCGCTCGCTCTCTCTCCCTCTCTGGGATAATTATTTTCCAACAATGATAAATTTCAAATAAGAGTACGTCGGTGCTGGATGCTCTCAACGCCGGTACGTTCGTTTAATTAACAAGTTGGAAATCATAAGTTTCGATTTAATGCCATGTTTCAATTAACCAGCAACTCCCGGAAATATTCCCGTCGGGGCATCGATAAAATCCAGTGTGCCCATGTATACATGTACACATATATTTGAAGCGCAAACTTAATGCAGAATGGGTTACCAAGGAGGGGTAAAAAACCTTTTGGCTTAAACTTTCCGCAGCCCCTGACAGGAGCAAGGAGCCCGAGTCGAGCAAACTAATCGGCTTGGTGATCGGAATATTAACCACCGTCATCGTGTTGCTGCTCGGCGCCATTGGACTGATCTTCTACCGGAATCGCCGGCTCAAAGCCGCCCTCGTGCCCACGACCTTTTACGATCCGCAGGGCCACCTCAAGGTAAGCTCTGGAATTTCAATATCTTTTATGTTTTCTAAAATTCGTTTTCAACGACAGTGTGTTTTCCCCCTGAAATGAGCGTACGCAAAAACAAGTAGTACAACACTACGTGTAGTCAGACGAAGGAAAAAAAGTCACCGAACTCGAGTAGAATAATGAAACTTTTCCACTTTAGTCGGGGCAGGGAAAAATGACGAAACATCGACAGACTTCATAAACGAATCGACGCCAAACACTCGATCCTCCCCTGTGCCCTCCTATAAATAATAGAGCCACTCCGAGAGAGCGAGAGCACTAAATATCGAAAGTGCGCGTTCTTATGCTTTAACGGTATAGGATCGCATCATGAAAAATTAATACCTCGATGAACTCCTTCCTCCTCTCACCCGTGCTACAGTTATCGACAACTTTATATACGTCGCACACGATCGAAAGTCAGCAGCAGAGCCCCCAGATTCCTCGACCAAAATGAGCAAAAAGTCACCTAACGGCAACGCCGACAACGTCGACGGTGGAGCTGCGCACTAAATAAATGATTCCTGCTCCGCAGGCTCCCTCGTAATTCGTGGCTGGCGGGCGCCCATCACGTCCTCCATTTCCTTCCACTCTCCTTTCCAATGGGCGCCTTCTCATTTTCCTTTTGCCTCCCCGTGGCCGCGACGACCGCCTCTCTTATTTATTTATCGGCTGCTGTTACTACCACTACCGCCACTGCTGCCATTCGGGCGAAGGAGGTGCGCAACAAAAGAGGTGCGAGCCAACTTTTATTCCCTTCGCGGCACCCCTTGGCCGGTCTCTCTCGAGTGGGTTAACTCGGACGCCCTTTCTCTCGCTCGTGCTCCGAGCTTTTTCGGCTCGCGCCTTTACCTCCAACTACTATTCACCGTCTTTTTCTTTTTTTCCTTCCCTTTTCTCATTACGTTTTTCGAGACGATTTTATTCTTTCCTTTTTTTATGTTTTCTATGTATGTTTTCTTTTTCTTCGGGCTCTTTTGAATTTTTTTTCCAGTAGTTCCCGCATCCCTGATAATTTTACGTACGTCTCTGTACTCCAATCAAACAATGCTTAATTAATCTACCTTTTCACTAAAAAGTACAAATTGATTTTGTCAAACAGCTTGTTTCTTCGGGCCCATTCGTTCGCATTCAGCTGAATGGTGGGGAAAAAAGAAGCCCTCGCTCAAATTGACCTGATAAATTTTAAAAGCTCGGCCGTCACTGCTCTTCAGCGTCAATCTCTTCTCGCTCTCGGTACTCGACTCCTCACTCTGACTCCGTGACTTTATTTATATTTTTTGTTTACCCGAGCTTTCTTTTCCAGGCTGGTAGGGTTTGCGCTCGCGCGCACGAAAGAGCCCGGCCAACAAAAAGGAAAAGGGAGAATGCCAGAAAAAAAAAAAAAAAAAAAAGAAAAGCGTGGAAAGGAGAACGAGCGCGAGAATCGAGCTTTTTGCTGTTGGAAAAGGTATAGGTAAAGGGCGGGGGGGCTCTTACGCCCTTCTCCGGAGCCGGTCCGTTTGAGCACTTTCGATTCTTCATATTTCGCTCGGCGTGGCATTATGTGCCAGAGCAGCAGCGCGGTCGCCGTTTAAAGCCGGCTTTCTCTCTCTCTTTCTCTTCGGCTTTTTGCAGCCTAGCTCCCGCCCATTGTTCCCTTCTTATGCTCCCTCGCCGATAAAACACGTAGCTGGTAAAAATGTTTGCCCCCCCCCCTCTCTCTTGCTCATCGGATGGATTTTCAGTTTTTTTTCGCTGCGTTTTTGTTGCACCCCCAGAAAACTCTATATCATCGTAAATGACATTGTTACATGCTTAGGAAGAACGGAATAGCTACTGCCACGCGATTGATCATCCAATAGAGTACTTGGAGCAAAAGTAAAAAATGGAAAAATTAAAAAATATTACTCAAAGACACAAGAAGCATGTAACAAAATCATAACTTTGAAAGATCCCACAAAAAGCCTTTCCCCGGAAAAAGAGCTCTGACTGCGAGTGCCGAGGAAAAGAGCCTGCGTGTTGTGCTCCCGTAATAAACGGAGTTTCTGTGCCATCCTTGGAAAAAAAAGAGAAAAGGAGAAAAGGTCAAAAAGTCTCAAAGGATACACGAGTACGAAACAACATGGGGCTCCTTTTTCTTCCGTCTCAACATTACAACCGCGTATACGTGTGTATTTTCTTACTCAGTCTCAAAGTGGGATCGCCAAAGTATTTACGTGGGCGCGCATGCAAATGCATGTAAATTCGCGTACACGCGAGTAGGCACGTGACAAAAAAAAGTCGAGCCACACTGGAAAATTGAAACGGAACACGCGGACACGCACGTGCGTCTGCAGATATGGTTAATACAGATGGTCGAAATATTGCACTGGAATAATCTTTTGTTATTACTCGCTCCGCTGTTTCTTCCGCGTTGAGATTTTTATCGCGCCCGAAGTCTCTCGGCTCATAGTTTCCTCTTTCGCTCATACATGGCTCTCTTGGAAAAATATGTGCAAGTGACGCGCGCGAGTGCACGGGCTTACGGTAGAACCGACATTTAATTTCATGCGCGTCTGCGAAGTATACTTGAGCACCTGAGCTATGCGCTCTTGATATTATCGTGGCGGCTGCTTTACGACATATTGAAAGTGAATTTTTTCTTTCACTAGCTACAATTCATCAGCTCTTCTTGCGCTGCAGTTTAAGCATTGAATGAATCTTGTCAACAAGATGATGCGACGACACTTTTGTGAAATAGGCTGTTCGAGCTCTGTTTGCTTAAAAATTTTCTACATCATTAGATGGGATATGCTCACGTGATAGAACAACGTTTTTTTTTTTTTTTTTTTTTTGTAATGGATGATTGTATTCCATTTTTCAGCTTTAATTAAAAGATCACCTCGACTCTTTCTAATTGCACGATTTCTCTCTGTTCAACCCTTGACCTCTGAACCGGAGGATACACATGTCCGAAATCCTGCCTCCCATACGCCAAGCCTCTTTGTTAGACGACTTTTATTTTTTCCCGGGCAACTGCAGTTAATAATACGGAAAAGTTCAAATGGTGGCGCGCGGATGGGTTCTGTAAATCAACGGTGCTCTTTTTTTTTCCTCCCGGCACATCCTAAATTACAACTCACCTCTCAAAGCGGACTGTGTACGGTGCAGGGGTAGAGGAGCTAGTAGGCATGCCAAAGAGTCTCCGTCGCCTGTCAATCAGCTCAAGAGGAGCGATTTCCTCTCAAAGGCCGGAGGAAAGTGCGGAAAGACTAAGGGAAATATTTCTCCTTCCGTGTTTGAAGAATCGAGGAGCGCAGCTCGTTTCACCGCTTGCTAATTCCTTACCTTTGCCCCTATGATTTTTAGTACCTATTTGGTTTTCTTTGCCTCTCTCACTTTCAGTTCAAACTTGAAAGGGAGAAACGCACGCTGAAACGGCCGTCGAGTTGATTGTTTGTTTTTCAAATGGAAACAGCCTGTAAAGGACGGATGAAGCCAAAGAGCTTTTATATTCCCTTCCTGGGCTCACTTTAATTGGATGGTTTTTTTTCCTACCTGTATGGATGAAGCAAAGCTATGCGATTAGCATAAACTTAACTTTAAAGACTAAAAATTTTCCTTAAATAAAAAAAAGGATAAAAAGTGCGAGAGTAAAAAATAAAGCTTATTTGTTATCGTTATTATATATTTTAAAGAAATTTCAAGCACCTTTTCGATGATGTGTACTTCAATGACAACAAGTATATAGCTCGGAAGGGCGAGAAGTCGTTCGGAAGTCACTTAATCGACTCTTATCTGAGTGCCAGTTTGTCCTCCCCCGTCGCCCTTTCCGTGTCCTCCTCCTTGTAGTAAAGCTCTCCTCAAGATGATTATGTGAAGGTAGGACTAGCTTCTCTTCTGCCCTACTAATGGCTCACGATTTCAGTCATCTGGCCAAGTAGTCGTGGTAGTAGTTACAAGGGAGCCGCATCCAAAGGGCCGATGAGAAACTTGAAGTGCGCTCTCTAATAATGGGCCGAGCAATAAAACAGTTTGTACGAGCGAGGACGAGCGCACTTTTCGCTACTGTCTTAAGCGAATTTGGAAATTTCATCTTTAAACAGTAAAAAATTACCTGTTGAGCTATAATATACATATATAAATAAATTAATAGATATACAGTAAAAAATGATTCGTCAATTTACTACCAGCGTTGTAAAATTACGAAAAATTTTCTAGTGTATTGTATGGTATAGGTCATTTTTCCTTTTTTTAATATTTCTAGATCTTCATTGTTGCAGCAGTAATTTTTAAAACCAGTCTTCTATTTCGTTTCTCAAGCCATTGGTATTACAATTCCAAGTATCTTGAAATTAAAAAAAAAAAAGTCTCCCTCGTATAATTCAATTTGTAAAACTTAACATCAACGTCCCAATGAAACTTGAAAGTCGCGTTCATCATTTCTCGACAGTACGGCCGCTTCTCCATTAAAACTAAAAGACCGAATGAAAATAGGCAAAGTACAACAACAACAAAAAAAAAAAAAAAAAAAAAAAACAGCAGCGCAACCTAATTAGCTGGAAGATGAAGTGGCGGTCTCAATATCAGCACCGCTGATACATCTTTTTCCTCCCCTGTTTCCAGAGTGTAGTACATAGCCTATCGCAGAGAGGCACCTGCTATCTGCCATCGCTCATCGAGAATCCAGGCTCATTTCTTCTCACCGTTCTTGCCTTTTCGTATAAATATTCCGAGACAGAAAATGGACGCCCCGCATACATCATTCAAAAAAGGCGTGTACAGCCTTCGGTCGTGACCAGACGCGATCAATTTAGCTTCCCCGACATCCCATCTGGCTATTTACTTGTTTTTTTTCTTCTTAAATACCAAATGGCTTCCCAATTGTTCGTACAGGGTGGAATCAAATAAGCAATCCCCCCCGTAGACACCTGCAGCAGCGACCTCGAATATATATTCCCTCCCATTCTTCTATTCTTCACAGAACTTGGTGGCATTGTGTGTACACAAAGCAAGTAGGAGAG